GTGAGAGCATCGGTGGGTTGCCTCCCTCACACGCCCCGATGGGCCCGGGATCAAACCTGCAACCCAGGTACATGCCCTTGACCAGGAATCGAACCTTCCACCCTTTGGTGCTCGGGCCGACGCTCGAACTGATTTAGGGCCACTTAATAATTTCCAAAGACTGAGCACCTGAATCAATCTGAAATATAATTATATTACTTATAAAATTGTGGAGCACATACTTACGTGAGCAGGGACTTAAGGGTTTTTCCTTAAGCTCTTCTCTCCTAGGCCCTTGGTCGCCGACTGAAGCAATTAAGGAGGTGGCGCAGCTGCGAACAATGGGCTAAGATACCGCCTTCTGGAGACGTCGCCAGGCGGCCAAGATCCGAAGAATGAACGACTTCCAGGACTGCCCGCGGCTGCGCTCCCTCCCGGCCTGTTCGTGGTGGAAGGGACCCCTCGGCCGCTCCTGAACACAGGCTTTGGATGCTCATAGGCCTGTCTTGGTTGGCCGGCGGCTCCCTAAGCGCCTTGGGCGATTCAACCTGCCTCTGCTGAATTGGACACAGCTGCGGGCAGCCCTGAGCGTGTGTCGTCGTGTGTCCCCCNAACAACCACTGAGCCACACTAGCCGAGGCTCCCCTGTTCCCGGTAACAACCACTGAGCCACACTAGCCGAGGCTCCCCTGTTCCCGGTAACAACCACTGAGCCACACTAGCCGAGGCTCCCCTGTTCCCGGTAACAACCACTGAGCCACACTAGCCGAGGCTCCCCTGTTCCCGGTAACAACCACTGAGCCACACTAGCCGAGGCTCCCCTGTTCCCGGTAACAACCACTGAGCCACACTAGCCGAGGCTCCCCTGTTCCCGGTAACAACCACTGAGCCACACTAGCCGAGGCTCCCCTGTTCCCGGTAACAACCACTGAGCCACACTAGCCGAGGCTCCCCTGTTCCCGGTAACAACCACTGAGCCACACTAGCCGAGGCTCCCCTGTTCCCGGTAACAACCACTGAGCCACACTAGCCGAGGCTCCCCTGTTCCCGGTAACAACCACTGAGCCACACTAGCCGAGGCTCCCCTGTTCCCGGTAACAACCACTGAGCCACACTAGCCGAGGCTCCCCTGTTCCCGGTAACAACCACTGAGCCACACTAGCCGAGGCTCCCCTGTTCCCGGTAACAACCACTGAGCCACACTAGCCGAGGCTCCCCTGTTCCCGGTAACAACCA